TTTCTGGTTGAGCATCCCTAATCCAAAATGCTCCAAAATCTGAAGCTTTGTGAGTGTCGTGTCAGCACTCAAAAAGTTTTAGAGACCAGGTGCTAGTTGCTCATGCCTATAATCCTAGCTACTCAGGAGGTAAAGACCAGGAGGATCGTGCTCCTAAGCCAGTCCCGGGCAACCAGTTCATGAGACCCTATCTCAAAAAAATCCAACACATAAAAAAAGAACTGGCAAAGTGGCTCGAGGAGTAGAGTGCCTGCCTAGCAAGCATGAGGCCCTGAGTTCAAACCCCAGTACCACCAAAAAAAAATAATAATTTCAGATTCTAGAGTCTCAGATTACAGATGCTCAACCTGTATTAACAGTGTACAACTCAGATGACAGCAGTGCCTGAACCTTGACGTGCTCAGGGTCAGGTCCCACTGCCCTCTACACCAGGGCTGCCCACCAGAAACACAGTGCAGGCCGCGCAATAGCCAATGCATGCCAGGTGCTAGAGAGCCACATAGGGCTGATGTGCAATGCATCAGGCACCACAGGTAGGTATTTTAAATTCCTGTGTGTCACGTAAGTGCCACAGTCCTGCACGTATGACTAAGTCATCATCATCATCCGATACTGAGAACTGAGCCCAGGACCTCAACCTTACTGGGCAAGCGCTCTACCACTTAAGCTACGGCCCTAACCTTCCAAATAATTATTTTTCTGACCCACTTTTCCTTTAGTAAACATCTAAAACTATTCTGATTTTGACATTAACCTTTATGTAGTAAAAGCCTTACCATTAATATAAAGTATTGTAATTTTAATTATGGTTTTTAATTTCTCCTTTGAGTCTCCCTTCAATTTTTGGTCCTAAATAATTCTGTTACTTAGACCATTTCAGAAAAGTACTTTTGTTATCTCCAAAAAAATATATATATATCTGGGCACTGAGTAACTGTGGTGAACAAATATAAATCCTGAGAAACCTAGAGAGAAATTTGTAGTTTACACAGGTCGATGTTTAATTTGAAATGTTGTAGGCAAAGATGGCCAAGAAAGAATGTTCTCACATTAATCAAAATGAAAAACAAAACAAGTTTGTCTGCATAAACTCTCCCAAGAGAAACACAAGCTAAAATATTTTAAGTTATGGCTTCCTTCAGTGGTGACAAAGATATGGCCAAGAAAAAACATGTAATCCAGGCGTGGTGGCACACACCTGCAATCCTAGCCTCTGCAGGAGGAAGACACAGGAAGATCACCAGGTTGAGGCCAGCCTGAGCAAAGGTGGCAAGAACGAAACAATACAGCAAAAGGGCCCGGGGCTTGGCTCAAGTGGTAGACAGCATTTTCTCTGACTTACTCTTTTGCTGCATTAAAACTATGCATTTTTAGTTGGCTTTATTGAGAATCTGGAGGGGAGAAAACCTTCAATATTTAAGTTAGAAGGAACTAAGAAGTGATCCATTTCTAAAATTGATGATTCTTGGAGGGTTTTTTTTTTCCTTACAAATAGTCATTAAATTACCAAGATGTCATATTTATTTATTTTACTAAGTATGGTAAATCATTGGTAATAAAAGAAAATTTATTTAAACTGGAAGGATTAAGTAACCTCTTTCCACCTTCATGAGATCTAATTTTTTTGTTGACTTACTGTTCCGACACATGTAAGATTTGTCAAACCCAGGTAATATATAATACTCAGGATTTATCAATAAAAATGATTAAGTAACTTTATAATCAATTTTCCGTACACTTAAACATTCTACTTTCCAAATAAAATACTGGTTTGTAAGACAAGAATTCTTTGACACATCTTTGTATACGATCTGTTACCAACTGTACCATTATTCAGCTGTTCTAACAGCGTCTGACTAGAAGGACTAATTTCTCACTCTGGTATTTTGATTGGTATATTACTGACTGCTTTCTATGTACTCTGTGTGGAAAATACATTCCACTGTGCTTTTATGCATAGAGATTTTTCACCACTTTGGACACTATTTAAGACCGTCTCTGAAACCACAGGTAAAGCAATGAAAAGCTTCCCTCATGAAGCAGAATTTCTTCCCTGCCCCGAGATCAGAACCCAGTGCTAAGAGCTGGAGGTTCAAGCTTCATTCTGTGGTTTGTTCTATAGCACTCTAGCATATTCTTCTCCTTAATCTCTGACCTTTGTCCTGCCATCATCCTGGATAGTCTCAAGATCACTGAACTCAGCTTGAACTTACTGCTCCCAAGGCCTGTGTTGGGTATTATTAGGAAAATCCAGGAATGCATGGCAATGGTCCCTTCTTAACAGAGCTATGATATCTCACTCCATGGTTCTTCATCACTGGCCACCAGGCCCTTCACTCCCTTGCAAATAACCTGTCTCTAGATGGGTTTAACTACTTCTATAAACTCTTGGCACAACAGATAATCACTCCTTCCCCACATTACTCTCCACCTGTCCACCAAGCCATAAGCAGGTCCCAATTCCTACTAGATATCCACTGATCCTCTCTCTCTTCTGCCCACCCAGAGGAAGGAAGTGCTTTTTCCCTGTGCCAACAGTCTCTTGGTGCCATGGGGCCATCTCCGTGGCTGCCTTCCTCCACAAACCACCACATACATCCTGACAGTCTTGAAAGACTTTAAAGCGTTTGTTAAAGTGTAACTCATGCTGTTGTTTTTTACCGCTCTCCTGCACTATTTGCACAGCACCTGAATCACAGCCTTGCCCTCCCTGAATGTACATTACAGTGGCTTCCACATGACTTCCAACTTAATATTCACATCCTCCTAACTACTCATTCCTGTTTCTGTCACCACCTCTTCTTCTGGGCCACAAAGGCAGGGAATACCCAGGTCTCCCTGCAGAAGTCAACTAGAGTATGAATTATGCTTGAAGCACTTAAAACGGTGTCTTCTCCAGGCTTCACGTCTCAGATCAAAGTCACTAGCACAGAAAAGCTTTCTCTGACCCACCCACATTAGTCTCCCATAAAGGCTTGTTCAGACACAGTAAAGTCACGTGGGATGGCTGTCTCTTTGGTAGAAGGACTAAACTCATGGTCAACCTTACCACTATCACCTGCCATGACATTTCTCCCTACATTATCTAGTCCTCACAAGACTATCAAATTAATCTCTCCTGGATTCCATATAGATCTTCTTATTCTTCCAAACTTTCTGGCAATTTTCCCATTGCCAATAAAAAAAACACCAAAACTTCTTAGCCCAGTCATTCAACATTATGGCCAGAACTACCAATCAACCTTTTACTAAACTCTTGTAAGAACCATCACATCACATGCAGTGCTTTCCTACCCCCACACCCCTTCCAAGCTCAGTGGTAAGGCTGCCTTGCACACTGCCTCCTTCTGCAGCTCAGACAATGCTCCCTGTCAGTCAAGGCCACCTACAGGGGATCTCCTCAAACTGCTTTCTATCTATTTAGAAAAAGAGCCCCAGGCTGCGCCACAGTCCTAGGGCATTTCATCCACACTAACTATATTTGAGTGTACAATCCTCCAACTGGATGCTGAGACCAACGATGTCAATGATGTTTGAAACAAGTCTTTAACCTTGAGCTTGTATTTACTATGTACCATGTGCTGCTAAAAACACTTTGCAACAATCCTGTCAGGAACACACAGCTACCTTTCCCATAGGACAGATGAGAGGAGCGGAGCACAGAGACCATCAAAGAAATTTGAATACAGTGGGTCCAAAATTATAATTTAAGGAGATAAATCTATCACCAGTAATTGTGCTCCGATACTTTATACGAGCCAACCCGTCAGCCTACAAAGTGTTCCCCATTCTTCCTACATCAAAACTCCCCAGCTTTCAAAACTAGTAATCTCCCTGTATAGCTATCCTTACCTCTACTAGCAAAAACCCTTGGTCCTCCCTATTAATGTTTATACTGTCTCTTCAACAAAATTACAGATAAGGGCAAAACAGTATATGCTTGGAAGTGAGGGGGTGGGGCGAGAAGGAGGGGGTGGGGGGGAAAGGGACGGGGAGGGGAAGGGGGAAGTAACGACCCAATCATTGTATGCACATATGAATAAAGGAAATTAAAAAATAAATAAATAAATAAATAGATAAATAATAAAAATTAAAGAATTGGACCTATGAAGAAAAGAAAAAAAAAATCCCAGCTTTCAAGATGCAAGTCAAATGTCAGTTTTTCAAGGCAGTCTCCTGCTATGCTCTAGCCAAGTTAGTTGTTCTTTCCACTGATGCTAGAAATGTGACTTGATTATAACAGTATGGCTGGTATGCTGTAACCTATAAATGTTTGCCTAATTAGAATTGGTTTTTTTCTTTCTTTCTTTCTTTCTTTCTTTACTAGGTGGTGCTGGAGATTGAATGCAGGGCCTTACACATACTAGGTAGGGACTGTACCACTGGAGCCACTCTGCCAGCCCTTTTTGCATTGGTTATTTTGAGGACAGGGTCTGGCTTTAGTCCCCAGACTACGCTGTACTGTGATCTTCCTGTTTGTGCTTCCCCACATAGCTGGAATGTCATGCATATGCCAACATACCCAGTTAGTGGTTGAGATGGGGTCTTGCTAACCTTTTTCTCCAGGCTGGCCTCAAACCATAATCCTCCCAATCTCCACCTTCTAAGTAGCTAAGATTACACAATTGAGCCACCGTGTTCCAGCCTAGAATTTCTTAACAGCAATTTTCTTCAAGTGGTTTAACAACTAAATGACAAAAAAAAAAAAAAAGAGGGCTGGCAGACTGGCTCAAGTGACAGAGCACCTGCCTAACAAGTATGAGGGCCCTGCATTCAAACCCCAGTACTCACCCTCCCAAAAAAGGTACTTTATATCTACTGAACAAATGAAATAGAACAAACTAGCAATATTCGATAATTATACTCACAAATCTTTTCACAAATACATGTAGCATTTACTGCATGCATCAAATCATAAGATCTTGCATGGATGTCTAAGTCAGGATCTCTATTCTTTCAATATGCTCAATTAAAGTAATATTAAGAAATAAGGAATTTACCAGTCTTCGCCGTTCTTCTTCTACTGCAATGAGCAGCCTTGCAAATTCTTTTAGTGACTGAGCTGAAAGAAAAAGAAAACAATAAGGGAAGAAAGAAAAGCATTAATATTCTTTCTTTCATTACCAATGTCTAATTACACAGGAGCAAGCATTACAATGGGGCTGGTTATTAACTTACTTATATTACCTTTTTATGTTTTATGCTTGTGCAGCCCTAAAACAGTATATATACAGTAAGATCCTAAGGGCTAACAACTATAGATAAGAGCTGTATGTTTCTCTGTGTGTTGCAAATTAACGTTTAGTGAAGACACTAGGAGAAATACATACTTAGTATATAAAATTTACATACATGAACTACAACTATGAAACACTCTTAAAATCTATAAAAACGGTAACTCTTGCTTTACTTAGGTGAACTTAGTAATGGTCAGTGATGCGAAGTCTCCCTCTGAATGGTGGAAGCCTGGGGGTCATAGGGATCTGAAGACAGCCTTCATTCTGCAGGTGTCAGTCAGTCCCCACCCAAGATACTGCATGTCTTCAGATGTGTGCTCAGAAAGGCTACACCATAGCCCTGGACACTCATTAGACAGAGTGGGGACTCTCAGGTGGCAGCAGCCTCACCTAGATGACCTGTTTTTGTGTTGAAGCTCAGATGTAACTCCTTCAGAAAACTATCTGCACCTGTGTTGTTGCCCACCTTGGTTTTGGGGGTTTTTTTTGAAGGGGGGTGATACTGGGAGTGGAACGCAGAGCCCAAGGCTTCCCAGGCAGGTGTTCTACCACTTGAGCCAGGTCACCAGCCCTTGCCCTGTCTATAGTAGGGATTAGTTAGGGAAAATCCCCTAAGTTACAGAGAAAAAGAATCAAGTATTCAGAAACATCAGGAGAACACATCAGAAATAAGTAATGCAATCCGTGGGGAGTTACAGTGGCACGTTCTTGAAAAAGGCATGTTCGCAAACTGCAGCTGTGAAACAGTAAATCATCCAAGCAGGCTTCACGCCTAATACTTAATGTGAATTATTAACCGAAGTCAGAATGTTTGGGTTGAAAAGGAAACAACACAAAGTGGAAGCAAATTTTTTTTGTATATGAGCTTTACTTCAGCGTGCTGACTCGCCAAGTTCTCCTCTTTCTCTTAACCCATGCCAATAAGAGTAACATTCTGGACGCCAGCGGTTCTATAAGACTGGCACAAAACCAAAGCAAAAGTCAGTGAGAAAAAGGATTCAGGACTCTTATCAACAGAGCTCCTAAGGAAGAGAAGGAATGTTTACCATGCAAGAATTTTAAATCCCAGGGTTAGGGGTAGAGCTTGCCTATCATGCATGAGGCCCTGGATTCATTTATTGCCCTAGCATTGCAATAAATTAATTAAAATAAAATAAATAAACTCCAATCTGGGATTTTTTTCCTTCCTTTCCTGACCAGTAAGCTTTCTGCTAACCAGGCTGGTGTGAAATGCTATTCCTATGACACTTCATATCAGATTTTATTCTCAGTTAAACATAGTAGAAATCAAAGGATTACTTAGTGACTTGGGTTAATCTGATAACCTGAGTTATCAAGGCTTTTTTTTTTTTTGCTAGAAAAGATTAAATTTTAATTTCTTCAGAAATATTAATACATTGCAGTTTTCACAATGATAAATTGAACAGAGCAATATTTTATTGATATAAATAAGATTTTTTTGGGTGGGATTGGGGATTGAACTCAGGGCCTCATACTTGCTAGCCAAGCGCTCTACCACTTGAGCCTCAGCCCCTTCGTCCTTTTGCTTTTGGTTTGTTTTTCAGATAGAGTCTCAGGCTTTTGCCCAGGGTGACCTAGATTGTAATCCTCCTCCATCACCCAATTAACTGGGATTATAAATCTGAACCATCATGCCTGACTTGGTTTTGAGATAGGATCTCTCTAACTCTTGCCCCATATGGCCAGGAGAACATTAACCTCCTACCTCTACCTCTGGAGAAGCTGGGCTTATGGGCACCACACCCTGCCTGTAGGTAAGATTTTAAATGGAGAGTCTACAGCACATTACATTTGTGTACTTTCTTTGGGTAAAGAAAGCTGCCAGACTAATGTTGGAATGCCGTCTTCTGCCCCTGTGACACTCTGTGTCAGTGAACTTGAAGTAGAGGTCAAAAGCATTCTGGGTGATAGGAAGCAAGTTAGGATGCCTACAGAGAAATCAGCGTGGGCAGGTCACTTGTGGTTCAGGAACTGAAGGCAGTGGGTGTATCAGTAGATGAGGTAATAAGAGAAGGTAAGACTAGTTGAAAGTTGGGGTAAGCAGCACCCAGCACCTGAACACCAGATTTCTAACTTGATGCTCTCCAACATTTTTAATAAAGGGAAAAAATTCTACCTCAGATGCTTCCTTTTCTCAGAAACTATGGGATGAAGTGCTCTCACAAAATGTGAGAATAAACCAAGAGAAAAGAGCAGTCAGAATCTATAAAACAGGAGTTCCTATTTCTAGCATGGAAGCCAATAGGACTTTCAGAGGACACAGAGGTGTTCAAGGACAACAGCTGTGCAAAGGCCCAGAAAAAATCATGTTTGGACCAGAACCAGAGGCAAGGGCTTTGGGAAATATACCTCCCAAGAAAGGAAAAGAGAACTGATCAATATCCTGATTTATCTGATGTATCTACAATTTATTAATATAAAGAAAAATGTAACTGGAGAATGTAACAGTATATTACATTTTTGTACTTTCTTTGGTAGAGAAAGTGGCCAGAAAAATGTTGGAAGGATTAAGGATAAATTAGGGATGGATGGGAGGAGGGAGGGAAGAAGGAAGAGAAGGAGAGAGAGAAGGAGGGTCAGAGGTCCACATCTAATTAACTTCTGGGGAAACAAAGTTATACAAACAACACAATCATAGGAAACTAAATAGCTGGCTTGTGAGTAAAAGGTACAAAGTCACTATCCCATGAATATTAAAGATTAATGTACCAGCATTGTTTTAACTCTACTGAGAGAATGGAGAAAGGAGTGCCTGAGCCAGTGTGAACACACATGACAATGGTATGAAATCCAGAGATGGCATCTAAAACTGTAAAAGAAAGTCGACAGACAGCAGGGTAATTGTGGTCTTGGTAAACAGAAGAAATAACAAAGTTCAAAATGGCCTTTCTGGAGAAATAAAGTAAATAATGAGAACCGGAGGGATGGGAGAAGGCTAGCTTTATCACACAGAATAAAATCTGTAACTTTTAAAACAATTAACAAAAAATAAAATGTGCTAGAAATGCTTCACCTTCCTACTTAAGAGCCTAAACCCTAGGAAAACAACATTGCATATGGTGAAATTTCCCAAGAGGCCACCGAAGCCTGTCAAGAGCTATTTTGGAATAAATTAAAATATAACATGACTTTAGATGGACAGGGACAGACTAAAACCTCTCACCTAGTCAACAGGGGAAGTGACCACAGACCATGCTGTCCATGGCAGTGCCCTGGCACCTGAGGTCATGCCTGTTGTCACAGCTCATGTCCCCAGGGCACTTGAACCCCAGAGCCAGCTGTGGAATGGCCTTAAATCAGGCTTTGGTTATACATAAGAAAACTCAAATTCTCATTTTGCTATTCTCTTTGTCCAAAAATGAATGATGCTATTTTGTACTTGAGTGGTGTTCTGGTCTATTTCCCATATAAATACTATTTATAAGCTCAGTCAGATAATAGTTGAATATAATGGAAATGTCTGAGAAGAAAACTTTTAACATGCAAAAGCAATTGAATGCCTGGTTCCCCACAACAAAAACAACTCTCCCCTCTAGCAGTATTTTGGGACCAAACCCAATTTAACAGTAAATTTTATTCCTTCTTTTTCTTTTGTTGACTTTTCTGGGCAATGGCATAAAAAAAAAAAAAACCCTAAGATTGTTCCTTTTAACTATTACAACTTCAATTCCATAGAAGTACACACTTCTTGGTCCAAATCAAAACATTTGTGTTCATCATTTGCATCATTTGTTCTACAAAAAAAAAAAAAAAACAGCCAGGAGCACAAAATATTTACCTCATGAATTAGTAGCCCACTGACTTCTTAACCCTATATCTAAAGTCTTCCCCTATAACTAATGATCTCAAAGTACTGAACTAATGCTTTACTAGGCACAACGTAACAGGAAAAAAATAGGAATTAACCCCATAAAACAGGCATAAAAGATTCATGGTATTATCATGTAGATTTGGTTTTTGGGAAAACAGATTCTTAGGGATCTCCAGTTACTTGCCTGCCTTCCTCACCCTCCAAGTCTAACAGGAAACTGACAAAGCCAGGCAGATCCAAACTTAAGTCAACAGAGACAGTGACTACCAGACACTTCTTGAGCAGTTCCCTTGAGAGAGAGGCCAGTGAAAGCATTTCTGGTACACAGGACCCAAAACTGCTCTGAAAGACCATGAGATCATGGGTAAAAAACTGAAAGCATTTTCTCTAAAATAGAAAGCAAGGGTGTCTACTCTTACCACACTTATTCAAAACAGTACTTGAAATTTTAGCCAAAGCAATCAGACAAGAGAAAGAAAAAAAGGGATACAAATAGGAAAAGAAGCTAAATTATTCATTTGCAGATGATATGATTGGATACTTAGAAAACACTAAAGATTCCACCAAAAGATTCTTAGAACAAAGTCAGCAAAGGTTCAGAATGCAAAATCAATGTACAAAAGTTACCAGTGGGCTAGAGATGAGGCTTAGTGGTAAAGCATCTGCTTAGTAGGTATAAGGTCCTGGCACTTAAAAAAAAATGTAATCAACACAAACAAACTTTCCTACATCAATAATAAACTCATGGAGAAAGAAATCAGGAAAACAATCTCACCCATAACAGCCTCCCCTCAAAAATCCTAGGAATAAATGTAAAGGAAGAGGTGAAAGAGACCTATGTAATGAAAATTATAACACGGGAGAAAGTGAAGAAGACACTAGAAAATGGAAGAACCTCCTGTATTCAAGGATAGAGAAAATCAATGCTGTTAGAATGGCCATACCAAAAGCAATCTGCAGATTCAATGCAATTCCCATCAAACTCCCAATGAC